CCCCTTCCCAAGGAAATAAACCCAAAGTTCCCAACCCCCTTTCGGGGGGGGGGGGTCCCCCTTTTGGGGGCCCCCCAAAAACCCCCGGGGGTTTTCGCTTTTGGTATTTGGGGCCCCGGTCCGGGGGAAACCCGGGGGTTCCCCCCCCCGCTTTGTGGGGGGGGGGGGTCAAAGGTCAAAAGATTCCGGGCGGCCCGCTTTTGGGTTCCCCCCCCCCCCCCCCCCCCCCTCCCCCACGGTACTTCTCCCCTGCGAGGCCCCGTGCCGAGAAATTTCTTCATCAACTCCCCATCATTCGTCTCGGTTGGCAGGATAAGGGTGAGCTGCGGCCACTTTCCCCCGGTGTGCGTGGCTCGTGTGTTTTGAGATTCCGACGCAGTTTTTTTTACCCATCAGCGAATTGCGTGCCACAAAAAAAACGTTTCTCCCTGACGACTGCAGACACCGAGAGCTACAAACGTGGCGTGAAACACTAACGAGCTGAAGAAGCCAACAACCCTGTCATCACGACAGTCCGTAGGATGTGACGAGCGCTGACGAACAATATTTTTTTGCCTGTTGGGGCAAAAAGAAAGAAACGCGTTGTCTTGCGCGGGGAAAAAACGAATAATATCGCCTGCGTAGTAGCACGCATGCCGCTGGTGTGGCCACACGAAAAATCACGTCCACGTGCCACTGCTGTTTCAGGCTTTATGGGGTGAAACAGCCTAGATGACCTGCCGGTGTTCACCCCCTAATAAATACTTTAATTACAAGGGGCGTGCCTTTTTTTTTCCCCAAACCCACAGCAGTAGCCAGCCCACCCAGAGTAAATAACCCAGACCCCATAATAAATCATGTACAACAGGTTGTCGTAATACGACCAAACGCGCCACAACAGAGAGGACGGAAGGGACCCCCCCCCCCACACAAAAAAAAAATACCAATGAGTGGGGGTGGGGGGGGGAGAGAGGGGGGGGGTACTCATGTTTTGCATGCCTTAAGCGGCTAGACCACCATTCGGGGGTGACACGAGATCGACATGTTTGTTTGCGGTCGGTCCTCCAAATCACGGCTCGCGGCGGAGCGACGAGCAGCCTGGTGTTTCGACCACCCTGACGTTCCGCCCCGATGCCGCCGCCGCCGCCGCCGCCGTCCCCCCCAGCGCGATGTCGCCCTCGATGCGGATGCTGACGTCGATCAGCCTCTCGAGCTGCGCGGCCGTGCTTATCCTCCGCTGCTGGCGCAGCACCTCGCGGGCCGCCTCCAGCTGGTCCGACAGGTTCAGCAGAAGAATCCCGGCAACCTTCGTGACGGACGGGGTCGTTTGGGGGGGGGGTATGCCTATTATTCTCTTGCTTGACGGAATGGAAGTCGCTTGCATTTTGGGGGCCCCGTGACTCATGAACTGCATTCACAATCACAAATGCCCCCCCCCCCCTGTTCGCAAAATTTGAATAGGTTGGCGTCGAGTGGCACCGACGCTGTAAAACAAGCCACCAGCCCCTAGACATGAAATAATTGCACTAACCAAATTTTTATTTTCCCATACCGTAACACAAACCCGCCAAGCCAGACATGAAAGAGCTGAACTAACCGATCTTTTATTTTCCCATACTGTAACACAAA